TTCCATTTTTTTCTGATTCCCATTCTCGATGATTATTGCTTTCTATCTCTTATCTATCTATCTGGTTTAATGTGGTTTCACCCAAGGGGAAACTGAACAAGACTTTTGTTTATTGCTGTTTTGAACCCTGCCCTTTCGAGATAAATAGAACATAATATTGTCGTACAATTTCATAAAAGCGATTTGTTTTCATTTAATTGAATAAAAATCATATCATGTAAGCTCAGCGTTTAAAACATTTTTGTTATATATCCTGCTAATATACACTTCGCACAGAAAATATTATTTGTAGCTAATGTTTTGCCATCAAAATTCCTAGCCTCCATCAAATACCTTTGGGGCAACTTTAGCATTCGTTCCCAAATCCAATAAAAATTGTTGGGAAATTTAATTGAATTATATGTCAAAATATTATTAAATCTGAATATTTGTAGCTGCCGGACAGCGTTGTTTCTGTCCCTCTTTCCACTGCCAATTTTATTTAAATTTTATTTCATGTTGGCCGTCTGCCAATTTGTCGTTATCCTTTGTCCTGGCTAAATTTCAATTTGATTAAATTTGAAACATAATATAATAAAAGCAAACCTTTTCATTCCTTCTTACTGCTGTCTGGCGGTCTGTTCTTTTATTGCCTAGCATTCTAGTTTTCCAAATCAGCATATGACATGGATGACAATCATGAGCAAATCAGTGGGTCAGCGGCAATAAAGCCCACGAATGCGTATATATCAGCAATCCCTTCAAATAATCCAGCTCAGTGAGAAAAGTCAGAGCAAACAATCTCTGCAGCAGAGTGAGGGATTGATGGTCGTGCAGGAAAGAGGAGGTCACTCTAAAGGGATTGCCACTGGCTGCCTGACCACAGGAAACACACGATATACGTTAATTTCCAGCAGCGGACTTAATTCTCTACCATAATAGTCGTAATTTTTTTTATAATGCCGACCACTGGAAACAGACAGAAAAGCGGCTCAAAAAGTCAAACTTTACACACAGAGTTGGTCTGAAATTGCTCTTTAGTCCACGAAAAAGCAAGCCTGTTTACGGTATGCATGGTATAGTCGCCTATTTGTTTTAAATTAAGTATAGTTTTTATAATTAAGGTAAAAGAATCATATTTAAATAATTTAAACTCAAACAATGATATAATTTGTATACAGTATATTTCAAAACTCAGATGTTGTAAATTTTTGGATATTTAAAAATGGTTTTTTAAATTAAAATGTTAAGTTATGAGCACGGTTTTAAAACGTAATGTTAATGTTCTTGCTTTTGCAAATACAAAATAAATATGAAAATATGGTTTTAAACTAAAAAAAATTAAAAATAGATCTCAAATAAAATTCACCATAGCCCTTTGCACTCTGGAAAGTGTATCTCATAGTTACGACTATGGCGCTGGTACATACATTTAATTCCCGCACTCGTACCTACTCGCACTGCAATTGCCTTCAAGCCCCCATGGGTCATCATAAAAATTTTCACCGCTAATGAGGCCGACGATTAATCGAGAAATGCCAGCGTAAACAATTACCTGCCATCCCGCTGTGCTTCAGTTTGGCGACGTGTTAATGTCACCAGGTATGGCACAAAAAACAAATAAAACGAAACGCATGGAGTTGGAGAAAGTTGTGGCAGTGGTTGCGTCATGGTTAAGTTTATCATTAAAGGTAATTGCAGGGCCCGAGGCCCTTCGGCAATTATGTCTGGGAATAGAAATAGCTGGGCGACTGGAGACTCCTTGTTAAATATCAATTAGACTGGCTGACATGAAGTTAATCCTCGTGCCTAGTCCCCGCCCTCATACTTTCAAATATGCAACAAAATATGTGCAAAATGCATTTGACATAAAAGTTGCGAGAGCGTCAAGTTGTGCAAAACTATTGTCACACATGCACACAGCCAGCACAAAATTCCATTAAAGTTTTGCATTTGAAATTGCATCACCAGAAAGCTTCTGAGTGCGGGGTGTTACCAATGGGCGTGGCCGGAGGCGGGGGCGGGTACGGGTGCACAGGTTGGGTTGCCTAGTATGTGATGGGGCGTGGCACTGTGGTGGCTGTTGCGTCTAGTGACTACGTCTATGTGTGTGCGGTAGCTGATACTGATTGAGGTTACTTTAACCCTAGACTAGCCAAATCGTGTTGGTAAAAGATGAGGTTACACATTGCCATGAAATACTGCAATTTGACAGCTTTCAGCTGAAATGCAATTAGCACTAAATCTGAAATTTCAATGAAGTGCCAGATAATTTTATCTCATTAACAGCCTGTCTTACGCAGTTTACAAAAATAAACAACATTTGGCCCAGTGATAGTTGCTATTTTAAATAGCTATAAACACATTTTAAAGAGTACTTAATAAGTTCAATCTAAGCTTTAATTTGTATTTTATATACGAAATACTAAAATTGATGAGATTCTTTTTAAAATAATAATTTAATATTTGTTAATATGTTAATTTGTTGTTCTCTGTCAATTTTTACCAAAGCGACTTTCTTTGATCCCGATAAGCAAAATCACTTTAGTCGTCAATGCTCATTGGCCGTTAAGGGGTTAATTCAAGCAAAAAGGTTTTGCAGCTCCAGCACTTCACTTCTCTATCTATGTTCGTTGTTATTTCATTTGGCTCTTCTTTCCATTTTTGTCAGCAGCCAAGTCAAGGCAAGCCAAAAGCAAAAGCAAACGCAAACCGAACGCCAGTCAAGCCAAAAGGGGCAGAGATGTGGGGTTGGTCGGTGGGGTCGGAGGTCAGGAATGGCATCCCGAGATGCGAGAGAGCCCAAGTAAGCCAATCAAGGCATTCAAAGAGAGCATATTTAAATAGCTTTTAACATGCACGAGCTGTCGAGCTGGCTGCCGTAGTTAAGTGAAGGCCAAAAACCAAAGGCGACACAAAAATGCAGCCAAAAAAGTCGAGAGTGGAGCAGTGCAGACGCAGACAATTTTGAAAATTGCCAGGGATGGGTTGAGCTGTTTCCAGTCGTTTAGCAATGCAGCCAACGTTATGCATTTTGCCTTGCCATTCCTTTGATGCACCACCACCTAGAAAATGCATTGCAATGCTCAGCACACAAATGGCAAGGAGCTATAGGATTGCCAGATTAATGTACGCCCCAAAAGGTGTTCAATTTCTCCTGACATTGGTTATAAATATGTATCGTTAATGTTAAGGAAATGTCTATGAATCTATATAAATATAGTATGTATTTTGTTGTAAAGAAAAATCCCAATAATAAATTTAAATCCATTTTTATTAGTGGCATTTTTATATGAAAAACAGCGGAAGCGACACAAAAATTTTAAATACAATTTTAAAATTAAATTAAATATTGTTGAAAGCTTTTCCTAAGTTTCACTTATTAAATGGACAAAAGAAGAAATTTTATTTGGAACAATATTGATGTAAATCAACTTTTAACTTATTTTAACCGTATTTTTTCAAAGTGCCCCTGAATGGCCAATGCAAGTTCAGCCCGTTTAAATATTAACATTTACATCAGGCAAGGTCTTTTTGAATAGAAATCTTTTTAAAATGTTGAGTATAAACCCTAGCAACTTACACACACGCATTGGCATTACTCAGACGGGGCAACATGTTTTTCGATTTTCGAGTGTTTCTTGTTTGAATCGCTGCTGGTTGTGATGCTGTGAGCCAGCCTCTGTCCACAAAGGCGGCAGTGCTAAGCAAACAGGGAAAGCATAAAACATACTCACACACTGACACCCACACCCACACCCATACCCTTGCCCATACATTTGGGGGGCATTTAAGCGCATATTTATTGTACAACGTTGCGTATGCGCAATAAATTTTCACAAAATTTCGACGCATTGTGGCAATAAAATGACATTTTTTCATATTTACACATAAAGTCAACGGAAAAAGCGGCAGAAAAAAAGAGAAACAGAGAAGCGAAATGAGAAATGAGAAACGACATGGGATAGGCTTAGGGGGAGGCGTTGTGAAGGATGTCACAACGATTTTTTATGGCCTCTTTTGCTTTTGATATGATGCGAAATATTTTCAGCGCAGACATTTTTATTTATATTTATATATACTTTTATCTATACACATTTGATATGAGATGACGCGGGACAGCAGTAGCAGCAACAACATGAAAAGCAGCAGCAGCCGCAGCACATGTGACAGCTATTGTTGTTGCTGATGTGCGGCTTGATTCAATGCCAAATTGTTGTTGCAGCTAAAACGCCGCATAGAGCCATAAAATAGGAGAATTAAAGAGAGAAACAATTAAATTTCTGCTGACTTAGCAAGATAAATAAATGCAGTGATACGTCAACTAGTTCTTTAAGCGTTGTGTTTGCAATAAAGTATATTTAGAAATATAAATTCGATTTGGTTGCAATTTTTTGTCATTTAATACATATTGTATTTATTTATAAAGGAATAAAATAAATTCCAAAGCCATTACGTATATTTTCTCTATATAAAATGTAAATTAATTTCTGTAATGGGTGCCGTTTATGTAAAAGCCCACAGTATTTGCTTTAATTTTGCTAATGCTCATTTTTGACCAACACAAACTTTAACTTTGCTTGTTAAGCTTTGCAAGTTTTGATCCTATAAAAGGGCCTAAAAGCCTGTCGAATCCGAAAGGGAAAAAATGTTGGTGCACGCATTTGCACATGCATAATAAATAAACATGGACGCCGCCGGCAGGCTGTTGCTAAGCCAATGGGTGCGGAATGTTGGGAGCCGTAAAGGACGGCTCAAATTTACGCATTTGTAATTACGTAGGAATTAAGCCGCCATCAACATTTAATTGCTAAAAGCTTTACTCGAAACGAGGCAGCCACGCATGCCACGGCGAGCGTGGATGGAAACTGGAACATTTAATTAACAAATTTTACGCATTTATTTTCTATTTTCATGGCGACGATGCCGATGCTGATGCTGATGCTGACCAACCGCAAACGAAAAAATAAACCGACAAAAACCGTGACAACATAATTTGCCTGGCACCGAACCGACCGCAGTGAAAACGAAGGACATTGATGCCGTCGAGGGGAAATCAGTGTCACTGCCCTGCCCCATCACGGAGCCACTGGATAATGTGTATATGGTGCTCTGGTTCCGCGATAATGCCGGCATACCGCTCTATAGGTGAGTCCTTGGGTCCTCAGTCCTCGGTTCTTAGTCTGAAAACACAATTGGTCCATTGTCTCGGCTTAGGCACACATATAATTAAATGCAAACGAGAGTCTCGAGAGTTGCTACCTTTTTAAATCGTTTGGGGCGCTGACTCACATAAGTATGCTATGATTTCGCCCTCTTTAAGTATGCCTGTAGGTGTGCGTGCTTGTGTGTGTGTTTGCCTGCGCCGGTGTGCGTTACCAGGATGTGTGATTTAGCTTAGCATCCCCACCTGTTTTTGTTTAATTTGTTTTTTTTTTCCATTTATTTTTTGTTTGACTTTTGTTTTCTCTTTGTCTGTGCCTGGGTATTAACTTAATTATGTTTACCTAATTTAGAGTGATTAACCTCGGGGCATGACAAACCACAGGTATTATGTGCCGGCGAAAATATTCAAGTGGAGCGTCGGCTCCAACGATTAAATTACGGAAAATGGCCAAGTAAACGCAGGTCAGATCACAGGTCAACCGAAGTCGGGTCCATAATAAAGTGGCCGTAATTGAGGGCCCCTGGCTGAAAACCTGCACTGTGTTAACTTCTAATTGCATTCACGGCATTTTCACGCCACGTTGCGCCTTTTGGTTGTCAACCAAAGATTTTTTCCTCTACATAATTGCTTTTGCCTTCGTCTAGGGTATCTTGGGGTGATTCGTTAAAGTTAAGCATAATGTAGTCTTAAATGTTTTAAATTGTTTTTCATTTACTTAAATTTTATATTTAATCAAGCTATTAATACTTAAACAATATTTAAAATTGATTGAGTTCTTTTTTTTTCAATCATAATATGATAAAGTTGTCAATCCTAAGGTAATTTGTTTATATTATTTTGAAATTAAAATTGATTATAATTTTATTAACAAATCACCAAGAAACATCAAAAAGAATGTTATTACTAAGGCCGATATGTAGATCAAAATTTCTTATAGCCTTCTTTTTACGCAGTCGACTTAAAAATGTAGTTAAGTTTGAAAAATCGATTCTAGTTATGGAATAATAAAGCTTCTTTAACGCTCAACACACACAAATTTAATTTGCTAGTTTCGCCGCTTCCAGTTGGGCCAACTCGATTTGCCTTCAGGGTATTTTCAAATTCAATCAGTCAGTGCACTTTATTTCCTGCCCCGTTCGCGTCGTCCTGCTTCCTTTTCAGCGCTGCCTCCTTGGGCCGTCGGTGCATTTTTATTAGACTCAATTTGCATGCAGTCGCGCTACTGGCAACCGTGCAGCCCACCAGTCGAGCAGTCGAGCAGTCGAGCAGCCCAGTTCGTTGCGTATTATTTAGCCATAAACATTTGCTGCATAGGCTCCTGGAGAACCGTTATTAAGCTTGGCACTAGCTCTGCAATTTCGCTTTCGCACACACTCTCGCTCTCGCTTCTTCTGCCATTTAAGAGAAGTGCAACTGTTTTTTAGTTTTTAATTAAAACGGCGGTGCAAAAGGACGAGTAAAAAAAATAAAGGAATAAAATTTGGGTTAACGTTGGTGCTTCGCTGCTGCACTTGAGTCGGTCTGCTGGCCGTGCCGCAATTAAGTTGTTGCATTTGCAACGAGAGTGCTGCAAGTTCGACGGCTTCCCGCATAAATTATTGTGTGGTGCATACAAAAGGGCGCTTAACGCACAGTCCGCCACAGAAACATTCGAAAGTGGCTGCAATCGCTGCCGCAGCGGCAACAATTTGGTGGAACGCAGAAGAGCCATTCAAAGGGAGACAGAGACAAGAGGTCAGAGTGGCGCCAAAGGACCTCTTCTGATTGAGAGACCTCAGTCTGGTTTCAAATGTGAGCCACCATTTTTTTGTTTCACCCAAAAAGGCGGGAATGGAAAAAATGTTAATTGACAGAGTTCGCTTTAATGAAATTAAATTTCCCGTAAACCAATGTAAAGGTTGAAATTATTGGACTTTAAATGAATAAAATCTCATTTATTATAGCTGAAAATTAGTGTGATTTGTAGCCACTGGGCAGAGGTATTTTTGCACATTATTATCTGTTTAGCGTGTTTGTTAAATTATCTCAGCAACTTTAAAAATACTTTAATGAAGAAGAATAGAAAAACTAAGCTTTTGCCTTAAATAAGAAATGTTTTGCATTTTGTTTTGTTCATTTATTTATCTCCTCTGTCGTTTATTCCCAAGTATATTGTCTTTTAAAGAGCAAAGCTTTCGGAAAGTTTGAAACTCTCAGGAAGTAGAAACTTAGCCCATTAAATGCAGTGCAGACTTAAATGTGCCGAGCAATTTGGGAAATAAAATGCCTAAAAAGCCAAGCAAAAAAGAATGTTTATCTGCAGCGCATAAATTGCATTTGGCAAGGCTTCACACACAAACACTTTTCATCCTCGATTTTTCAGCACGCCTAATGAGCAGGCCAAAATAAATTACGCTAATTTTCGTGCAAAAAGTTCACAGGCGTCCGGAAAAATGCGAAAGGGAGTGGAGTTGGAATTATATTGGCTATGGATTTCATTAATTTCCAGGCTGGACGAAATTTTCGGGGCTTGATTTAATTCGCGCGGCCCGCCCACATTAAATATTAATGGGCCATGGGCGGGTATTTTTCAAGGCTTCATGTTATTTAATGTTTTTGTGTGTGTTCCCCATCTCTTCCATCCCCAGCTTCGATGTGCGCGATAAGGAGAGCCGGGACCAGCCCCGACATTGGTCAGCACCGGAGGTTTTTGGCTCACGTGCCAAATTCCATTTTGACTCGCAGCCAGCAACCTTGGAAATTAAGGTGAGATTTACCCGTGGGATCTTGTGAGTTCATGCCCATTCATTTGCGAATGGGGTGTGGCCTGGCGATAATGAAACGCATGCGGGGATTTAATTTAATTTAATTTAAATTACCCGGAATAAATTAATGCATTATATCGAAATGCACCTGAAAAGATGCATTCTCTGCAAACTTTTTGTGGGCCACTCTACGTGGTTATTGGACTAAATAAAAAACTATTAGCTTGAATTCACATTTCAAATAAATAAATGACCACACAGAAAATGGCAACTAACTGTAATAAAAAAAGTGCGTTAAAAAAATAACACAAATAAATAAATTTAAATAAGTTGGCCTGAAAAAAAAAAACAGAATAGGAAGTGAAACTTTTATTTTATATGCAGATTTAGATTTTAAATCATTTCTTTCAAATCCGACATATGCAATTTGCGATTCAAATCCCATGACGCATTGAGTGTTATACATTTAATGAAAATCTGAAATGCGTACCCGTAAAATCATCAAAAAACGAGAGAGAAAAGTGGCCTAAAACACAGAAAAAAGCAAAAAGCGGAAGCAGCAATGGCGAAAACATGGCCAAGAAGACTGAATGGAATGTGGAAAACAAATTTAGATATCAAAAGTTGTTAAATTGCCTGGCGCACGCGAAATGTTTATTAATGTCTTGCATGTTTACAGATAACTTGATTTAGCGTTTCTGTCATGCAATACATAGATACACACAAACACATCTACATCTCCTTGCTCTGTACTCCGTACTTCGTACTTATGCAATGTGTTTGCTACTTCAATTCGTCGTATCGCATCGTCTCGCCTTGGATTTCCTTGGATATCCTTGCCCTGGGCTTGTCTCTGCCACGGCATTTGACTTTTTAAAGGCCAACTTAGTTAAGGTCTTAAGTGAGTTAAGCAATAAACAGCAAGCCACGGCAAACGAGGAGCTTCGGCAGGGGGAGTGGGGTCGTTAACGAGCTGCATTTCGAAATGAATGTGAAATGCACACGAATAGGCGGCCACCATAAATCCGCCAGGCAAAAAGGTCCTTGTGGTGTGGGCATGGTGAGCCAAAGGGGAGGAGTCTTGCAAAAATTGTTACTTATGAATTATGTGCTAAAATTGGTCTGGGATTGCAGGGTGGGGCTTGTAAATGAATTTTAATTGCGTTTCAATTGCAAGCCAATTAACTTGACGCTATTTACGTGTGGCAGACGAATTCAGGAGTCGAGGATCTAAGAGTGGTTGTCATGTGAGGATGGGTGCTATCATATCGCCCCATATCACCAATATCATTCGATTCCAAGTAAGCAGGTCAAAGAGCCTCCTCACGCAACAGAAATCACACTTAATGAACGCAAAACACATTTAGGTTGGGCTTCAGCCCTATACGATTTTCTTAATTAATATTTTTCACACCACTGACTATATGTATCAGTAAAGTTAATAATGTTTTCATGCTAGTTTTAGGAATAGAAATAATAATATTTAGTTTTCCGTATGTTGTAAGATAAGGCGTGAAATGTGATCTTTAAATACCTTTATTATTTTAAGATAATAAGACATGCTTACAATTTAAATGTCAGCAAAGCAACTCAGAATCATAAATGTTACCATTTTTACTTTACCTTTAAATTAAATTGTTAGAAGCTAAGCTTACTATTACATTTAGAAAAGCCAATTAACACGAAAAGATTTATTTGATTTGAGTAGCAAAGAAATGTTCAACCAGAAAATGCCATAATAATGGTAAAAATCCTGTCTGGCTCAATTGAGTGATTAAATAGGTGAATGAGGTGGATAGAAAGCTCCCAAAAGAGAACAATATTCCAAAAATTCCTATTTATTGAAAACTACACAGAGTTTGCACAAGGACTCTTGAGGAAAAGAGACAAACGGCTATTCTGTGCTGGCATTCTAGGCCCACTCGAGTGAAAACCACAAAAGCTAAAGTGTCATGCAGTAATTGAAAATTATATGGCTAGGAAGCCCGTTTTGCAGGGTGACTCTGTGTGCATGCTAATTCCCCGTTTTCCCTCCTGCCTGCCGAACACACAAAAACCACAAATAATAACTTACCATATTTGCAGGATATCAAGCGACATGATCAGGGTATTTACCGCTGTCGTGTGGATTTTCGCACCAGTCAAACGCAAAGTTTCCGTTTCAATTTGTCAGTAATAAGTGAGTGTTGCCCCCGCCAAATCAAAAGGCATTCGAATTGTATGCCTGAGTGCCATTGAAAAACGTATCCATCTGTTTGTCTTTAGTACTTCCGGAGCAGCCACTCATCCTGGACCGATGGGGTCGTCAGCTGAATGGCACTCAATTGGGGCCCAAGCAGGAGGGCGACGATATCGTTATCACTTGTCGTGTGGTGGGCGGTAAGTTGAGCTGACTTACTACAAAAGACGAACTTAACCCCAATACCCCGATATAAGCCCTCCCCCCACACATCCTACACACAAAAACACACACACACTAGCCATATCCGTATGCTCGGCTAGACAATTTCCTGTTAATTTCCTTAAAAGCTTTGACCGGCAAAAAACAGCAAAGAAAAACATCGCAGAAGGAAGAGTGCTGCAAATGAAAATATCACAAAGTCTGCTTTGGGTTTTCACTGCTTTGGCTTTGGCTTTGGCTCCGCCTTGGCCTGTGGTATTTTTTCGAGCTTGACTTTTTAATTTGCACCATTTTTCGTTTTTACTAGCATTTCACTAACTCCTTGTGCCCCTTTTCTAACTTTCCATTGCTTATATATCTGTGTTTTTTTTTTTGGGTACTCCCATAGGTCGGCCGCAACCGCAGGTCCGCTGGCTCGTAAATGGACTGCTTGTCGACAATCAAAACGAGCACAATTCCGGCGATGTTATCGAGAACCGTCTGTTGTGGCCATCGGTGCAGCGCAACGATTTGAATTCCGTATTCACATGTCAGGCACTGAATACGCAATTAGATAAGCCCAAGGAGAAGAGCTTCATACTGGATATGCACTGTAAGTAGCGTTTATTGGTGTGTGTTTCATTGCCCTAATACCTTTGTTGAAAGTCTTTGGGTTAGATTGGAAACAACTAGGTTACAAGATACTTTGTTGACCAGACAAAGGAGTTCAGCTTAGGTCATTAAGAGTAAATTTAATACACATGACATAGCATTTATTGCAGTTAAGACAAATTTAAATTACTGGTTGGCACACTCCAGGTACTTATTTTGAAACCAATTTAGCCCTCAAAATATATAGTTTTCGACGAATATGAAATAATAGATGTTGTATCCGCACAAATCTTTTCTGATGTTTTAAGCTTAAGAGCAATTATTTCCGAATGCTTAAATGCTCAAAAGTAACTTATATAACTTATATTAAGCTTATCGTCTTTAAAATATTAATTATAAGAACGAAACTTATTCAGAATACTCAAAAGTGTTGACCTTTATTCTAATTTTGAAAATGAATACATAATAATTATATGTTGCGACCTAAGGCCTTATGTTAGGGAAAACACAAACCCCAAGCATAACTTTCCGGCCAACGCTCGGTTGCCATAATGTTAAATGCAGCATTATAAGGGCCATTAAATAATTATATGTTAACTGGAGAGAACAACATTGACGATGGGGGGCGTAAACTTTCGAATGTCAGGCCCTGGTGTTCCCAGGAGCCCGTGGCCTCGTTTCACTCCATCCACGTGGAATACAAAGCTCAAGAAGCCCGGTATACAGTACACAGTATACAGTATACTCTGCAATATCAACGAGCACAAGACACGGCATCGGAGGGCCGGACAAAGTCATAATCCTGCCAGGAAGTGCAGCACTTGAGAGCTGTCGAGTCGTAATAGACACAAATTGTTGTTGATACTGGCAAACACACAAACACACCAGCACACAAACACCAACTCAAATATAGTAAATAAACGTACATGAAATGATTGCCGTACAAAACGAACTGCAATTATGGGACCATGAAATATTATGGTAAACAGTTTTAATTACAATTGCATTGAATTGAATGTTCTTCCTGTCCAATTACAGTGAAGCCGCTGGTGGTGAAAATCCTGGAGCCGCCCAGCTCGATGATTGCCGATCGTCGCTACGAGGTGTCCTGTGAATCCTCTGGCTCTCGGCCGAATGCCATCATCACCTGGTACAAGGGAAAACGGCAATTACGACGCACAAAGGTGAGTGGGCGTTGTCGGTGGGGATGGGGATGCGGATGAGAATGCGGAGTGGAGTAGAGTGAAGTGAAGTGACCGCAATTGACGCAGGTAGTTGGCTGGCTCCATCCTGCTGTTGACTGACTCACGTTCAGCTCGATAACTTATTGTGTTTGCACAGTCATGCCAAACAAACGGAGCTCGTAACTCCTGACCCACCCACATCCACAGGATATAGTGCAGTACCAGAACGAGAACCGAAACGAGAATCATAGACCGCCACCCACTTGTTGTCCCTGGGCGTGGTTCACACTCGCAGCTGGGTCCGGGTTCTAGTCCGAGTCCAGTGCCCCCGGCCACCCCCGCAACTTGGCCAGAATAAACACAGATAATGTGATATAAACTCCACAATACACAAACGATTCTAGTTCGCTTTGCATTTTGTTTTGGCCCACCCATTTTTACTATTTTTTCACCCTTTCAACGACAGCTTACTCTTTGATTTAGTTTTCAACCTGGTTACTCGCATTTATTAACAAGATTTATAGAAGCTTTGCCTTTTAATTTTGTTTAATAAATAGTATTAAAAATGTTTTTTGCAAAAAATCCTTTTGAATCGTTTGATGTTAATTAAATTGATCAAAATCGTAGCATTGTTTCGTTTTGTTATGCCTTTTAATTTATTCCTTTAAATGTTGAGTAACAAATAGTTTTGAAAATGTTTAAACGTAAACGTTTAAGATAAATTGATCAATATTGTAGATTTTTTATTTGGTATTTGATCGTATTTAAAGTTTAACAGAAAGCACTTACGTTTCAACTCATGTGTAAGGGTATTTAAAACTTTGTTACTGTAGCCTGTTTTTTCTGTTTGTTGTTTCGTTTTATTTTCCTTTTTTTCTCCTCAACTTTGGACAAATTTATGGGAGTTTTGGCGCAATTTTGTTGCAATTCATTTTTGTTTGTCGGGACCTGGAGTCGAGTCCTGGTTAGCTGTATCCTAACCCGGGCCTCTCCGGTCTGGCCCGTTGTTTATGTCCATGTCTATCCGCTTATATGCATACACGCTGATTGCTTTGCCGTTTTGGCCAGCTCCTGGGCCAATGTTTTTAAAGACCGGAAATGTTTTTCAGTAGTTTTCATGTAGCATAAAGTTGGCGTAATGCGGCATAGGTTCCTTTTCCCTTTTTCCCCTTTGCCCCCTTGCCATCCGATGTCCTCGGTCTGGCCATCCCACATGTTTTACATGCCTTTTCGTACCCTACTTTGGGGTTTCTAATATATGTCTGTGTCTGCCACCCATCGCTATGCATTGTGGGTGAGCTCAGGCGGAGTGTTTTAGCCGTAGCAGCCGGGCATTAATCAAAGCCCCGCAGACGGTCTAATTGAGAAGTTTAGACCACGAATTGAAATAGTCTATGCAAATGGAGCAGCCGACTGTTGATTATTGCAAATTTTTACAATATTACATTTACATTTAGTTTAAATGGAGGTTTCCAAAAAAGGTGTCACTGGCAAACAAACTCCTTAGCCGACTTTAAAATTTAAAACTTGCACTAGAGTTTTTCTTTAATTTTACCTGTGCAAATATCTAACTAAGTGGAGTGGTTAAGCTATAATCCTTTATTTTTGGGTCCCCAAAAAAGCCCGAAAAACATTTCAACCAAAATCAAATCGATCAAATTTCGCCACTGAAGACAAGGATTTATATTCCCGCTAACAGCCAGCAGTTTAACACCATCTGCAGCCAATAACCCGTAAACCGAATCACATATCTGGCAAAAGCCTTGCCTTGGAGCGATTTAAGCAATGTGTAAACTGCCAACAAAGGGAGCCGGGATCGGGGTAAAACACTTTATGGCCATGCCAACTATATGGCGGCGAACGGAGCTCAACTAATTGTGTGACGCCTTTGTTGGGGTCTCTGTCTGCCATTAAATTTATAATACCCCGAAAGCACACACCGCCACACACACCCTCACCCACACACACACGTGGCACATAAGACCCGAACAAACATACCAATAAATTTTAAATTGCAAACATAAAATATTTCGACAAATTTGCAAGCAAAAAAACACAAAGAACCCAACGAAAAGGGAACTTTGCCTCGAGGCAAGGTCCCGAGCCACTGGGGCTGTCGACAAAACTTAATTAATGCAGAAACATTTTCTTATATTTTCTGTGCTCTTTTTACCGATTTCTTACTTATTTTTTTTTCACAGGACGACATATCAAAGAACTCGACACGCTCCGAACTGAGCTTTGTGCCGACCACAGACGACGATGGCAAATCGATAACATGCCGTGCGGAAAATCCAAATGTGAATGGCCTGTATTTGGAGACCATGTGGAAATTGAATGTCGTTTGTAAGTATTACAAATTGTGCTTAAGTCTGAAGTATGAGTGAAATGGAGGAAGGTTTCCCGAAGGAAGCACCAATGAGGGAAAGCCAAGCAAAGGCATTGTCGACAGCAACCAAAAGGTAGACAGTCCTGGGCTCCGAACAAGACCAGGCTGAAATTTATTACGGCGGCGATGTCGCCATCGCCATCGCCAACGCTGCCGTTGAAAGCCTTTAAAATGCAAATAAATCAAAGACAAATGACAAATTGTGAATAATTTGCCAAAGGGCCAAAACACTGTAGCGTTTCGTTCCGGCGGGTAGCAGGGGCGGGAGAGGGGGAAGGGGGAATCAAAAGGGGCCCAGGCACAAATGAAATATGTGGGCTAACAAAATGTATGGCAGTCGCTTAAATTAAATGAAGGACTTTGGCTGCGGCTCCCCATTTCCCGTCCAATAAAAATAAATAAAAAATAACTTTACAAAGTAGCCCTTAAGTGGAGATCCGAAACTGGGTCCGAAATTGTTTTACCGCCATCGGATTTTACCTGCAACATTAATGAAATCTCTCAATAATTGTAAATCCCCCCGAAAAGCCACTCCAATTCGTATTCCAAAAGCCCCGACATAACCATCAGGGAAGTACTGCGGACATCGTAAAGTGCAAAACAAAAGTGTCGGAAGGGGAGAGCGAGTCGAACTCGATTGCGTTACGTATACGCCATGTTTGGCGTGGCCAAAATGTTCGTCCCCTGACTGTTCTGCTTTTTCTCTGTTTCCAAAGGCATCACGTAATAGCTTTTCTTTGCTTTTCATTTCTTAAAATATGAATATTTCCGTTACTTCAATCTGAGATGTTGCCACGCCCCTCCAAAAAAATCGTTGGTTACGCCTTACGGAATTCGTCTGCGCGTATATAGCATAATATGATTATATTTTTTATGCACCACACATACTTTTCAGGCTCATATTTTATGTTTAGAATATAATATTTTATTTGTTTGTTTTTGCTCACGTTAAAGCAATTGCCGCACCATCCTCCTGATGCTTTTTTTTGTTGCTACGTTGGCGCAAATAAACTTTATGATCGGCACGTAGTCATATACACAAAAGTGTGCGCGCAAATGTTTGTGTTTTGGTAAGTTCCGGTGTTGGGGCAGGCACTGTGTGTAGACTTTCAAAGAAACGTGGTCTTTTTAATTTGCAAATAAATTCCACAAAGAAATCAGGATGGGAATGTCTATTAACCTTGGGAAATTTTCTTTTTTATCTAAGCCTGTATTTTAAAATAAAATAATATTTTTAGAAAAGAGTTTTGAATTGAATCTCAAATAAATAATCCAATGAATGACTACCATAACTTCTTTTAAGTTATCCCTGTCTCCCACTTCAAATCAGCAGATAAATTCCGTTTTGTTCCAATTTAGGTACCGGGTGAATTTATATGCCTCATCTTCTTTATGTCTTTGTTGTTGTTGCCAATGCTGTTGGAATACGATATCTGCATCACGCGTGAGTTATTATGCCAACTGCGTTTTGGCTCCTAAGGCACGACATTTGCCAAGGCCATTTGGTCATGGCTTTCCCCCTTCTCGCTCTCTAATCCTCCATTCCAACTGGCATTGTATAATTTTGTTTATATCTCGCATGTGCGACTGGCTCGTTTTAAAATTTATAATGTAACCGAGAGGGGCTGCCTTAGTTGGTCTCCTAGCAATGGAAACAAGACAAAACATGCAATGCAATCACAGACGCTGTACAGATTCCCCCAAGAGTGCAAGACTGAAAAGAAACGGCACTGCGGAAAAAATATTGAACGATTTAGGATATAAAAACTTTAATTTAAAACTTCAAAAAAGTATTAAAAATTGTTTAAATTAAATTGATTTTAATAATGAGCGAAAAAGCCTCTTGACTAGTAGTGGAGAAATGAGCATAGCTTTTATTTAAAAGAAACTAGGTAGTTAGATTTTAAGTAATATCTGCCATTAAGGGTCATAAGAACCAGTTAATGGTAGTATTTAAAAGTCAACCACTCCTTTGTTTTTTTGCCCCTTTCAAAGAGCGTCTTTTAAGTAGTTAAGCTTAAGCAAATAAAATAAAATACTACAAATTTAGTTTTGTCGCGCTGAGCCTTTATTTTTTCGTGTGTTTTTGTAGTTTGTTTGTCTGCACTGGCACTGCAGACAATACATATGAATCACATACGCACGCAGACGAGCTGTAAGTGTCTTCCCGTATGTGCTTTTGTGGCCATTGTTTATGGCCGGGAACGGAGGAGCTGGTGGAGCGTGCCTGGCATTTGGAAAAAGCGAAAGCTTACGCCACATGTATTGCCCTGAATGCCACAATTTGAGTTGATATTTTTAAAGTGGCAATAGAGGCCGGCTGACGGTATGAGTATAACCTCGAAGGTCTGCAGGCTGCGATTGTGTGTCATATCTTGTGTGTGGGTCGGTGCTATTTTAATGGCTCGCCACGATGGAGTCCGAGGACAAATCGGCCACCAGGGCATGGTATACGGCATGGGGCACCACAGTGCCCACAATTTTCTTGTTCACATCGGTCTTCACGCGTATGATCTGGATCTTGTGGCCGTTCTTCTCGATGATATGCTCGATCCGGTCCCAAATGGGCAGCATTAGGCCGGACAGAACGTGGTAGGTGCGTTCCCGTAGACCCACTTCACAGCCCGGCGGAAACGGGCAGACTCCATTCCAGTAGACATGCGAACACTTATTCAAGCACAAACCATACTGCTCCTTCCAAAACGGGTGTGCCTCTTCGGGAGTTACCTTCTTGTAACGGGATGTTATGGAGCGAAGGGTCTCCAAGCGCACTTGGGGACCCGTATTGGGTCTGTAGATCTGTAGGTTGATCTTGCCGGGTGCTCCTCCATCCGCTGCATTAGACGGAGCCTGGAGACACATTATGGAGGAGTTCTTATCATGGCGTAGCTGCTGCAGGACATAGAAGCCTTCGTGTTCGTGCTGGCCCTCTTTGCGGTATCTAAGGGGGAGTATCAAAGTAAAATTACATTTTAAATTGAAAACGAAGAAATCATCAACAATCTCACTTGGCCAGGGCTGTTTCGAAAGACATGCCACGCGCCACTGTCACCGTGTGAAGTTCGGTGGCTGCCGTTCCAGTGGCATGTTTCCTGGCGAACCTCATCAGCTTGACGGACGTTACGCTGGCCCCATGGGCATCCAGATCAAGAATGCCCAGATCAAAACGTCCTGTGCGCTTCATTTGCATGATCAGCGAGTACATCTTGTCCAGAAAGAATTTGAACAGGGCATTCTGCACCTCAACGCGACAGCCCAGGATGCGATTGAGGAACTTGGAGATGTTATTACTATCCTTCTCCACGCTGAAGAGCTTGACCTTGTTCTCCTCGCGCACCTTGAGCATTCCCACGCCGGCCATGGCCACACAGCAATCGCGGGGGAATTCGCCCTTGTAGGACTGCGGAATGTGGACATGTTCCAGTGGCTTCACCCCCGTCAGCTGTTCCATCACACTCTCCAGGGCACTGCGACCGATGCTGTTGTCGATGTTGAACTGCGACAGATCCCGGGCGTCGGTGGCCCGTCGATCGCCTTGGGTGAGGGCGCCCAAGCTCTCCAGTCGCTTGGCCACCGTCGAGGCAAAACGCCGTTCGCCGGCCAGATCGGTGATCACGAACACATAATCCGGGGAGTTGACCTGATTGGAGCGATGAGTGCGTCCAAATTGCTGGATGGCCCTGTCCGCACTCCATGGGAGTTCCAGGGTGATGTGCAGACGACGTCGCTGGTTGGACACTCGTTTATCGCTCTGCAGGGAAATTCCACTGGATGCCGCCTCCGAAATGATGGCCACATGCTTGCTGCCGTCCATGAAACGCTGCTTCTCCCGGTAGTTGACCAAATCCATCGAGGAGTCACTCTCGCAACGCGACTCGTACTTGTAGCCATCGCTCTCCGTTCGCACCACTCTGCCCCGTCGGCCAGTCATCTCGGCCACCAGATTGGTTCCGCCCAACTCAGAGATCAGCTTGTCCAACGTGTTGGCCGGCAGCCGCTTGCCCAGGATCTCGATCTTCTCGAGCAGCAGTTCCCGAGAGTTGATGCATCGCTCCACGTCCCGCTCGGTAATATTTGCCTTTTGCGGCTTTGTGTTGTCAAAAGTGTAGGTGGGTTCGCCATCGTTGTCCTGCGCCCTCATATTATTGCATAAATGCTGTAGAATGCGCTCCTGCATGGTGATCTTCTCCACTGTTCAATGTGTTTTGCAAATTAGAAAATAATTTATGTAATGTACGGTACATGCAAAAACGCAGCAGACTTCATTAAATTTCCAAAAGCGCAAACACGCATACAGACTTTATGGCCCTTTTTTTTTAAATATTAAAAATACCAAAAACAATTTTAAATATTGTTGATAAAAATATTAATATAACGTTTAATTTGGAACAAATCAAATTTATTTTTTTAAACACATTATTTTTTAAATATGTATTTAATATGTATTATATTTCGTTAGAAATTATATTTTCTTATTACAACTATTCACTTAGAAAAACTATTAGAAAGTCAAATCTTGTTTTTTTTTAAAGAATTGTATTTTCCGCACCAAACTTTAAAATTCATGTAAGCTCATTGAAGTTTAGCAAGCAGTAAGTAATAACAAAGCCCACTGGAATAAGGCGCTATTGCATTCACTCTATTACTTACCTTTGTCCAATTTGGGCGGTCGTCCTCGCCGCTTTCGTCCCGACTTGACACGCTCATCGTCCGCATTCCAGCTGCTCTCGTACATCTCGATGTCGCTTTCGCCGGCCTCGGCGTCCATATCGTCATCGAACCAGTCGGGATTCATCTTCATCTTCTTGGGTCTTGGCGGTCGGGAACGGGATTCTGGCTCAAACACGCCGGTATTCAGGAGATGGTGGAAGCTGTCCCGCTTCGGCGCTGGGAAGTGCTTCTCGACGAAGGACTGGATGATCATCTTGGAGGTGGACACGAAGGAGTTCAGCTTGCCATGGTGCCGCTCCAAATGCTCGAGGGTGCGCGACTCACCCGTCGACTGGAGGCCGATGACCACCGCCTTGCCCGATCGGGTGGCGTGGCGCGTCATCTTGACCACGTGGCTCACCTTGGAGGCGATGCAGAGGTTCTTGAAAAAGCGCTGATGGGCACACCAGAACTGGCAGGTGATGATCTTCTGCACCCGATTCTCGATGCACATCAGGCGGCAGGCCTTCTGGAACTTCTTGTTTATCTCGGCCCAGAGTTCGGCGGCCAGGTTGTAGCTCTTGCGGAACTCCTTCGGCATGGCCACCTCCTCGATGCGGAAGCTCACGTCCTTGAAGCTCAGCTGGCGCGCTATGTAGGTGCCCCTCAGCTTCATGTCCATGGCCACGATTTCCATGGCCCCAATGCCCCGCTTCTCCACCGCATTCACGAACTCATAGAACTCCGGATAGGCGGTGCCGGGACCCCAGAGACCCAATCGCACCATATAGGCCATGTTCCGGGGCTCACTGGCTCCGGTGGCCGAGGCATAGACCACCCTGGCATTGGGCAGCAGCTTCTGCAGCTCCAGCACAGTCGTGCCCGTCTTGGTGGACTTGCCCACGTTCATGAGACTCAGGTTCTTGGCCTTGTGGCACTCGTCGAACACGATCACCCCCTCGAACTTCTTGCCCAGCCAATTGGCCAACTGGCGCAGTCGCGTCTTATACTTCGAGTTGGCCGTCAGGGATTCTCCGATGAGTGCCGTGTATGTGCAGAATATCACACCCCTTCGGAAGTTCTCGTTTTCCTCCGAGTCGATGCGACTGTACTTAAACTTGCTAATGGACGCCACTTGAACCTTCTCGTGGGCACCTATATCGGCCAGATCTCGCTCTGCATCGAATTTGAGGTCATTGGAGACGGAGATCCAAAGGGCACGACGCCTGCCCTTCACATAGTTGTCGAAGATGATGCCCGCAATGGTGCGACCCTTTCCCACGCCGGCTCCATCGCCCAGCAGGAAGCCAGCTCTCTCGCCGCTGGGCAGGATCTGCTCATGCGCTTGGCAGGCATAGACCACTGCCTCCAGTTGCAGGGCACTCAGGCAGTCGGTGGTCTCCGCGGGCAGTTCCAACTGGTAACTGATGTCGGGCAGTTCCACGGACGACAGGGTGGCCGTCTCTACCACCGAGTCCGGATGGGCCCGGCCAAACTTGAGCTTACTGGGCCAGTAGGCCGCAAAAGTGTCGGCCACACCGATTTCCTCGAAGTCCACCTCCTCGTCTTCAACAGCTGCTTCCGGCGGAAAGGCAGCATCCCTGGGTTGTAGTGGCTCATTCATCATGGCCACCGGACTCCCGGAACTGGTCATCGGCAGGGCCAAATACGGTTGCCCACTTTGTAATATCTGGTGCAACTGGCTGGCCGTAAAACTCTCCAGCTTCGTGCTTGGCTGAGCCTGCGGCATCGCTGGTGGCACCACCTGCACTCTCGTGATCAGGCCATCGGGTGCTGTGCTGTACTTCACGGATATGTCCTCACCCTGAGCTCCCTTCACTCGCGTGACTATCGGGACATTGGCCAAGGTGCCAGGCTGATGGGCAGCCACTGGGTTGGGCCTTTGATAAACGCTCGGATTGACCACTTCCACAGTGTTATTAGCCAATGGATAATTGATTACTGCTGGGATTGGAGGTTTGCATACCTGATTCTGTTTCAGTGGCAATTTCTGTGGATCCACAGCATCATCGGACTCTTCGCTCTGCACCAAGGGTAGGGAATCCAGTTCGTCCTGAAGTCGTGCATCTATTTCAGCTTCGATTTCCTTAGGATCCGCCGGCACTAGGGTCGGTTTGCGAAACAACTCCTCCGCTGTCGGGATATCTTCGTCCTGCTTATCGTCCTCTATCTTCTCTTTGACAGCCTTTTTAAGAACAATGACAGAAAGCACTTCTACATGATGGCCATCATGTTTTTCATTGGTTACCTCTTCCCTTTTCCTGGAATTATTTTCTAATTGTGCATTAAGATCAACAACATCGTTTTTGATAGAAGAAATAGGCTCAGTTTTGTCATTATTATTTTTTGAAATTCTGTCTTTTCTGGCTGCATTTTGTTGTTTAATCTTTAGGTATTTCAAGTCATTCCCTTCTGCCTTCACTGTCGGGATCTCTTCACATATAGATTGCGGTTCATCATTTGGCAGCAAAGATTTTAGTTCAGCTTTAGGGCGCCTGTCGATTACGTTCTGCTTATCGTCCTTTGTCTTCTCTTTGACAGCCTTTTTAAGAACAACGTCTGAATGCACTTCTACATAATGGCCGTCATGTTTTTGATTGGTTACCGCTTCACTTTTCCTGGAATTCTTTGCTAATTGTGCAGAAAACGGCTCCGTTTTGGCACTCTCATTTTTTGGAGCTTCACTTTGTTTTTTAAGTTTTAAGTATTTCAAGTCATTCTCATCTGCAGAATGGTGTAACTTTTTATTCATGGAGCTGGAATCCTCTGCTGCCTGCTTTAAAATACCACTTTTATTATGGATTGCTTTAAATTCACTCTCCGATTTCTCGTCATCTGTATCCAGGTCAAAGCATTCGATAACGTCCGGAATAGGCGGTTTCGTCTTGACCATGTTCTTTTCGTCTTTTGTGGATCCAAAGTCATTTTTATCCCTTTGATCATTTTTCTGATCTCTGGTCTGAATTTTCTTTGCCGGTTCCACCAATTTTTTATTACTGGAGCTGGCATCTTCTTTGGCCAGTTGTGGAGTATATGTCTTGTTGTTTTCCTTCTCGATCCTAGCTCTTGATTGTGATCTAGTGCGACCGCGCTTATGTATGCTCTTATTACCCTCTGCCTCCGAAAAGTAGGGCGTAGGATCTGGAATTACATGTTTCCTGGACCTAGAGATGCTTTTTGGTAAAACTTCCGCAGAGGGCTGCTTTTCTAAAGTACCTAAAGTTGCTGAAACGGAATTTTTTTGCGTCAATTCGGTTGGTAAGTTCTCTCTTAGGACTTTCTCTTTAACATTCAATGTTTGCGAACGTTTATCAGGTGACTTTATATCGGACCTACTGGACTTTCTCTTACTTTTTGATAACTGCTCTGCTGCTTCAAAATCGTTTTTCCACATGGCATTACCTATGGGCTTCAGGTTCTTACCTTTACTTTCTGGAGCCCAACTGTCTAAAACTATATTCGGTTCCATGTCGTTTGTAAAATTTCGTGAGCCTGGCCGCCCTTTAACGATGGCATCGTGTTCATAGTTACCCCAGCCAGAAAAAACGGGATTTTCATCAGCTTCAATTTGGTTTTCTTTGTTGTGCTTTAAGTTTTTACTACTTTTCGTTGAACTTCTGTGAGTCGAATGCGAACGTCTCGATGAGTAAGCCTTTGCAGGCACTGAAGAAGGGATTTTATTAGTATTATTATTTGTGGAATTCCGCAAAATACTTTCAGCTGTGACATAGTTACCCGAAAGTTCCGAGATACTCTTGATATTTCCCCAGCTCGATGTGTCGTTCGAAAGCAAAACATCATGACGACTGGCTGCCGAGCTTGGTTTTCCCTTACATTCCGAATCAGATTTCCGTGCATTTCCTGTCATTAGCTGCGAATTTATACTACTTTGTGCATTAAGTCTGGAGCTCGGATTGGCTTCATGCTCCGAGCTGCCTGGTGGATCGAAATCGGGGCGTTTGAGGGAGTTGCTTGTTGTCTGCCATTTTGTCAGTCGGTGTCCTTCAGTCCTTTGTTTGCCAAAGGTCGATTCCGTTTCTTCATCAGTTGCCCTCTTGGAATTACCATGCCTTTTTCTACTTGACATCTTGTTCTATTTTTATTCACTTTTTTATTATTATTTTCACGTATTTATTTCGTTTTAATTTCTGTTTAGTCTTGTTGCCGACTTGTATTCCGAGAAGCAATCGCATTGAATGAGGAATATTTTGTTATTTTCGTATGACTATAGCTTTTCGAGTGAAATATCTCACAGCCTATTACGTTAATCAGTCAACAAGGTACTAAAAGAACTTATAAGTGTTCGAATTCAAAGCCTACTTGTTACTTTATTTTGAAAACAGCAAAAAATTTTTGTTTTTCGTCGTCTCTCAAAAAAATTTCTTTATTGATTTTATTTAACATAATTTTTATATTTTACAAAGTAAAATAATATTGTTTTTTTATTGGGTTTTTAATAAACACTTTTCCATTGCAGTGCAAAACAGAAAACAAAAAATTTCGGTGCCTAATAAAGCAGAAATGATCCTTAAAAAAAATGTTTTCCCTGCTTGGACTTGTTAAATTTTATTTAAATAGCAACGAAAAAGTTCCCGGAATCGTTAGGCCAAAACATCTTTAATATTTGTAGACTTGGCAAAATCCCGCGAGGCAGTTGCCATAATATAACAGCCCACACTTGCACATAAATTCTGAGCAACCGTTGACTTCCGCTCCGCCATCGATCGATGGTCGTTTTGGGCCAAAGAAACGAGTGGGTGGCACGGGGTCAAAGGGCAGGCTGGGTGGCAAAGTGGCGCAACGGTATCCGTCCTGGAACGGTAAATGATAATCACAAAAATGGCCTGCAACATGTGTGCGGAAATGCGCGACGCGACTTTTCCAGCGAAAGAGTTTTCACAGCCCTTTGGGCACTTTGCCTGATTGGCAGACGACTTGGCGGAGAAAAGGGGGCGGATTGAGGAAAGGAAAATGCCACCCAAAATTGGGCAAAAGTTTTCCAGGCCATTCTAAAGTTTGCAGCAGGCAGGCGGAAGGGAACTTTTTGGCTTTGGCTTGGGGTTTGGTTACGGGTTTGGTCTTGGTCTTGGGGTTCCGTTCTGCCCAACTCTTGACTGTCGGCGTTTGGTTTTGGCCGCCAATAACTCAACAATATTAAGGCTGGCACGTGCGCCCCCTCTGTTTTCATTCTCGTACTCGTCCTCTTTCTCGTTCTCGTCCTTGTCCCGATCTTGCTCCTGTTCGTGGTCCTTTGGCTGGTTTTGGCCGGGTCTCCTTGTCTGAGTTGGGGTCCTTGCCTCTGGTCGGTCTCTGTTTGTCGCAAAGTTTGTGGCTCGTTAAGCAAATTCAAACGACTTAAGCGGCAACACATGTCGGCAAACAGCGGTTGGTGGACGGGATGTCATCGCTGTGTCCTCATAACTCTTGGCTGATGCTTCACTTTGTTCCAGTTATTGCTCTAAATCGCTCATATTTGCAAAAACTATTAAATAAGCTTGATCATGACAGTGTGCGGGATTTTTGGGGAGATGACAAGACGGTTGTAAAACCGGAAGATGTATTGCACAACAGATTTAAATAGTACACACTGAGCTTCTGTTCATAAGTTCGTTGTATCCGTTTTATTAAATTCAATAGAATTTTAACTGTCAATAAAATGTATTAATTGCTTATTAAAGATTAAAAATCATATTTGACTTTGTGTCGCGAAATAAAGACTGTCTAAAACTTTAATATATAAATTTGAAAGTTCCTATAATATGTTAAGATATTTAAAATTCTTATTCTTTATAGAGCTTATGGTAAAATGTTTCTAAATAATCGATCATAAAAGTGAAAAGGACAGTATTTTGTTTATTCACTTGATTACCCTTTAATCTAGGTATTAGCTATGTAAAAAAATATTTTAAATGGCGTATAAAAAACGGATCGTTAAAATCAGTGTTTTTCAAAGCTTTAAGCCTTGATTACCGTTTATAATTACACTTTTATTCCCTAACCACCCAATGAATAACTAATTGACTTGCTCCTCCACTCCTCTTTGCAGATCCACCTTTGGTTACGTTACGCTTGGGCTCAACTTTGACACCGGATGATATCAAGGAAGGCGACGATGTTTACTTCGAGTGTCACGTACAATCGAATCCCCAGTGGCGGAAACTGTTGTGGTTGCATAATGTAGGTCGCATCTCGGAGCAGCGCAGGCCAGGAGTGAGCCAGGCGGACCCCGGGACTGTTGCCAATCCATTCCGGATCCGGCCCAAGCCAAACCAAACCGAACCAATCCGAACCAAACCGAGCCAAACCACTGAAATGGCATCCCGGGCTGTCTGCTTGGCTGACTCCTTGCATTGGGTCCTGGTTAAGTGTCAATAACATGGCAGGTTGCGTATGCGTTGAGGTGGCTGCTCCGTTAGTCGCCGCCAACGATGTCCTGATGCATGGATCTGCATTTGCTCATTTCAATTCTCGTGGTCTCCACCAGCCAGTGGGTTGGGCTGGTTTGGTCGGTCGGCTTGGATGGTTGGGTGGTACCATTTTAGGGTAAAATAGTTTTGGGATTTGCGGCATTGATTTTGCCGTCGCTCAACTGCAATCCGCAGTAGCTTGGCAATCACTCAGGCCAACTTTCCATCCCACAGCCCACATCCTTTCCACTGGGGAAGCCAGGGCATGTTTGCACCAGTGTGATGGTGAATTTTTGCCTTTCGGATGCGCTTAGCGGATTTGGGCAAATTGAAATTCGAACCCCAGTGGTTTTAAAACAGATTATAGTTGGGCAGCAGTGTAGCTGAATGATCCATTGCTGAATTAGTTTTCACTCACGTAAAGATTATCAGATTTTGTAAATTCAAAACAATAGACTCTAGATATATGTAGCTAACAAAGGGAAAGCAAATTTTATTACCAAATGCTATTGAAGGGCGTTTTGACTTTAATTTAAAAAGGAATACAATATATTAAATATTAATACTCAGAAATACTTGTAGACTGCTAGTGAAGGAGGAAATTATTGGCTAACAAACTCAATTGACTGGCAAGAAACAAAGCTTTTTTTTACTTAATTTTCCTTGTTTCTTATTATATTGCAATATTTCACTACTTAATTTCGCTTGTTCGGAATATTTTAAATATTGTTATTTAAATGTATATTTATTTCTATTAAATCATGAAATTTAATATTTAACATGAAATTTTCAATTCATCAGCCAGATGTTTTTAATTACTATTAGAAAAAAATCTTGAAAGATTAAATTTTGGTAGGTTATTGGGCTAGAATTTGACTATATGTATAGTGTTATTACTTGGGGTAGTGCAAATATTACTATTTAATATTCCATGCATCATAATTCCAGACTTGTGTTTACTTAATTTCCAGGGCATTCATCTAGAGCACAATACATCCGCGAGGGTCATCCGTTCCAACCAGAGCCTGGTGCTGCAGAAGATTACGAAGCACTACGCCGGGAATTATGCGTGCAGTGCCATCAACGACGAGGGCGAGACGGTCAGCAATCAGCTGCCACTGCGGGTGAAATGTGAGTAGTACCGACTCAAGTCCTGCATATATATGGTACATATGCCCTTTTAAGCGGAAACAGTGATGCATCAGCGATTTAAAGCATAAATTTGCCAAGCGGCACTTTGTTTGAATGCATCATCTATCCGAGAATGCTGCATGCCCCCTATTTCAGCCACTCGGAGCGGAGCTCGTCTGTTTTCAGCTTTCTTATCATAAAGTCAGGACTGCAGCCGTCGCAGTTGTCATACCCCCATACTAAGCCCCTCTGGCCCACAGCCACGACTCATTTGATGTATTGCAATTTGCATTTTTCTTCTCCGAGGCTGCTCTTATTTATTTTTGTTTTTTGTTTTGTTTGCTGTGCTCCGTCCATTTTCATTTTACAACTCAGCCCGGGAGTCTTGGCGCAGTTGCACGTCAAGGCTGCGAAAAAAAGAAAATATATATATATATTTTTCATTCCGCTTTTTGCATAAATACAACATTTTTCTTGGCTTCGTTTGTCTGGCGCTGCTGCGAATTTCATATGCTTGCCACATGCGTTGGCTTTGGCCATATTTCATAGCCAGCTGCAACTGCAGGCGGAATTATGCCTCAATTTAACAGCTCGCGAAAGTTGCTGCCGCTCAACTTACGGAGCCGAATTTTACCGCCGCCCATCTCCACCCATCCCCGAAATTTAAGCAATTTGACAGACGCCTGGTCTGATGAGGATCGTAATGAGCATGGGGGTACTGGGGCTCTGAGTCCTGGCACTGGCTTAGTCTAGCTGGATTCTGCTCCTCTGAGCGATACACATGTAGCTACCACTGCTTTCTCCCGCCCTGCTGAGCCATACAAATTGCCGCTCCAGCTCAAGTACTGCGCACACAGACAGACACTCATATTTTGACAGGCGCATTGCTGCGAGCCATAAATTAAATGGAGTGCGCCGCCATCGCAGTGGTTGGATTTTGCCACTGCCACTGCCTCTGTCAAGGCTTCTTGTACACCAACTGCACTGCAAAATACGATTGTAAATCCTTATGGTACAAATAATGAAATTCCATCAAAATGAATTTATTTTCCAGCTTCTTGCTGCGTAATTAATGAAATTAAAATCAATCATAACAGTCAGATTTGCCTTGATGAATGAATTCCACAACAGATGACTTCTTTGCCTTACTTTAAGTTCCGGTCTTGTATCTGCTGCAAAATTTTCCCCAGTGCGTCATAAATTTGGGATTAAATTCCGTGCTGATTGAGCCACATGAGCGCAGTTCCATGTCAGTTGAATGCATAACTTGTATGATGAGCCTAAGTCGAGGCATTACAGACATAAGGTTTTAATTAAACGTTACATGAGCTACATAATAATTGATTCAAATAATTGAAAGAGATGTCTGAGGGCAAAAGATGAAACGAAAATATGTATGCGGCTTGATTTGGGTTTAATAACTTTTCGCCTTTGTGTTGAAAACCACATTCACAGATGGCTTTACTTGTTGCTTTAGCCAAGGGAATTTCCCACAAAGGACCTCATTGAATTCGCCTAACAATTTGGGTCAGCTTTCTGTTTCCCACCCTGCCCGTTGCCACTCAAGTACAGCTTAATTAGCAAAGCGGCTAAGTAATCACTTCACATACTTCTCACCCTCTGAATTATACGCATAATACCAAAGTCGGCAACAACAACATCAGGAACAACACCGAATTGGGCGTAATTTTCCGGCTAATTAATTACGCCCCTTGGTTTTTGTGTACATTTTTGAAGATAAACAATTCATCAGAAATTCAAGTTGCCTTCAAAAATGTGCGAGCGAATGTGCCAAAAAGCAGAGAGAGAGAGAGAGAGACAGAGAAAAAGAGAAAGGGGGAAAGTCAGCCCACCGACGACAGCAAATTACGCATACGCCACGTGTGCCGTCAGCTAATAATCCTTTAACATTTATGGAACGCCTATTTACCTGGGAAGCACTAAATCATGTTGCCACATTAATTAATTTCCCGTAAACGAGAAAGTGGGCTTCCCACTCGCAGGCTTTTCCATTGGCATTTTCCCAACTTTTGGGACCCTTTTTCACCGACTGACTGACAGGCTGATGCGAAGGCGTTGCTCCCTGCTGTCTAAATCACTTTTGTGCGTTTTTCACCTGCCACGCCCACGCACACACCAAATACTTCGGCTCATTTCCCAACGATTTTCAGGGCATTTTAATGTCCTACAGCTGATAAGGTATCTGACTTTTCATTCAACAGGTGCTTGAAAGAGGAAATGCCCAACATAAAATAAAAGAGTGCGATTTGGGAAAGACAGGATATCAAGAGATTCAAGTTGCTGGAATCGGATTTATATGCAATTTATGGGCGAAGAAAAATTTACGAGCTTATGTGAATGACTTTAATATGCTTTTGTTATTTTACAGAATTCGTAAGAGCTTAGCTTTAAATATAATCCAATTTTAATGTTCAGATATTTTAAATCGTTTTTAGTTTATTGTTGATTACTTTATTTAGAAATTGAATTTATGCCTAAGTTGACCCTTAATGTAGATACATCATTTAATATAATTAAAATTGTATTGCTTAACTAAGCGTCAATACTTTAAGGTATATATAAAATATAAATTAATTTTTAAAGTAAAAATAACACGTTTTTATGTATTCAAATGAATTCAATTATCTTTCAGTGGTTTTTAAGAAAACATTTTGAAATGCCAAAAGAAAATATGATAATAAAGATTAAAATAAAATAATATTTTTTAACTTGATTTAATGTATTCGTTGCAGAAAATTGTACGTTTAGATAATCTATATCAAAACGCCTTAAGCTAAAAATAAATTAAAAACTTACGTTTAGACCCAAAAACAAAACGTTAAAACTCATAAAATGAAATAAAGTTTCAGGAACCTTTTACGAGTTTCAGAAACCTTTTATGTTTCAAGAAGACCTCTCAGATAATTAAGCCGTCTGGCATTTTATCACCCGCTGACTTATCCTAATTTTCTCATTACAGACACACCCGTTTGCAAGCACTCCGACCGCGTGATATTAATTGGCGCCTCCAAGGACGAAACTGTTGAGGTTGTGTGCGAGATTCAAGCCGATCCGCCGCCACGGTGAGTTCAAACAAAAAATGAAACAAAAAAAAAAAAAAACTGAAAAGCTTCCTGCTTATCCTGCCCACCCCACCCCCCTTTTGCCCTCATAAAGGTTTTTGCTGTGTTGTAGGCGATTGCTTCCGGTTTCCTGTTGAAAGGAAGTTTGTAAAATTGACAAATGATTGTGATTGTGTGTGCGGGCGCGTGTGTGCGTAGCGGAAAATGCTGTTTATTTTGTAGGAAATGTGAGAAAATTTAACAATATTTTGTTGTTGTTTTCTTTATTCATTTTGATTTCGTTCTCCCATTCCTTGGGACTTTCTCTTTTATCCGGTTTTTTGTTTGCCGTTCTTTTTGCTAGTCGTTGCCCTGGATTTTAAATTGCTGATTTTAATTCATTTTAAATGTGCAACTGGCTTTGCCGTTTCCATCTCGGCCAGCTGAAGCTGGGATTTAGTCGGACAGCGGGAATGTGGCGCACTTTAATGTTTTTTTAATGAGGCCACACCATTGCGGCCCGGCCAGCTGCCACTCTTCCTCAGTCCGAGATCCGAGATCCGAGTTGTCTGAGGGCTGTCCCTGTCTTGTCTTGTATTTAATTTCAATTTTTTTCGCCGCCGCCGCTGTTGTGCTGCTGCGTCTTGTGCTGACGCTTTATGCTAAAATAATTAATCATTAGCCGGCGGAAAATATGCGAAGCCTTGGCAAAGGCAGCTGCGGCGCCGTGTAATTGTTGTGGCTGCTGGTGGATTGGCTTGGCTTGGCTGGAAAATATCGAAGGAAAACTGGAAAGCTGGCTGTGGAGCGTAGCGTGAACATTAAAAAGCTGCTGCCAGCTTTTAGGCTGGCCCCCAAGGGAAGGACTCGCCGGCGATGTGGGGGCGACAAGTTAATTTATCAGCATTTAAACGCTTGACAAGCGGCGGGGTAAAAAATGTATTACCACAGCATGTTAATGTGTTAAAATTTAATCAATGCTGTTGCAGAAATAGCTTAAAGAAACAAAATATGAAGCAAGTGCAGCACAACAGCTATTTTTAGCTAAAGGACTCAGTCTTGAAATTGAAATTTAGCTATAAGGTAAAACTCTGGACCTCCTGATAATAAGTAAACTGAAAAAATAAGTATGTCTCTAATGTTCCATATATTATATATTATATTACTGTAACATTTTTCTGCCTATTTGGTTGATTTATTACAAAATATTAAAAACATATATCAGACTTTATTTAAAATAATCTAAATCATTTCATGTAATTAAACAAATATATTTGAGATCGTCGATAATTTTCAATTTAAAACCCAAAATTTATGATGGTTCAGAGTTTTAAATTTTTTTAACATTTATAAAATACATAATTATTTTTGCCATATAATAATTAATATCGTTGCCCATCGAAAGGCGGAGTTGAAAGATTCCGAAGATTAATAACCAGAAATAAATCAAAGAGACTGGCATTGTTGTTGACATCGAGTATTTCAGTTCAAAGTTGCTTTCATCGGACCGGCATATTTTCTGTATTTTGTTGATTTCATTTACCTTTTACCCATGACGATATTTAAATGGATTTCTGTTATTATTGATTTACTTTTATTTTTGCACTGCCAAGATGGGAAAGCGTCCGACCGAATATGCCAGAGATAATTAACCTTTTAAAAGGCTTCCAAATGTGTGAGTTTCTGTCCGAGGACTGGCCTCTGCGTCCTGCGATGTGCGCGCTTAACCTTTAATATTTTAACAAGCTATTTTAAAAATGGAAAACTTCGCAAACATGTTTCCCTCGCCGGCCCCCCTTTCCGTTCCCCATTTTACCTGTCCCGTGTTCTTTTTCGTCGCTGTCGCTCGTACTGCCTCCTCCACACACACACACACACACACATACATTTCTGTCAAAATGTCAACGCAACTTACTCACACATGTGCACAAACATTTTGCAGGACTTTTCGCTGGAAATTCAACAACTCGGGCGAAACCCTGGACGTGGGCAGCGAACGATTCAGCGTGAACGGCAGCCGCAGCATTTTAAAGTACACACCCGTCACAGATCAGGTAAACACGCCGATTCTACCCCCTCTCTCTATATATCTATATCTATATATATATATATATATATATATATGTATAAATATATGGAGTGTCCACAGCGAAGACCGAAGTCAGCTCCGGGCAATTAAGCAAGAGCCGCATTTTAAATAATAAATAAATATGTATTTGCAGGATTATGGCACACTGTCGTGCTGGGCCTCCAACGAAGTGGGCACCCAGCAGCACCCCTGCCTCTTCCAAGTCGTCCTGGCAGGTAAGTTTTCACGGACAGGGGAAAATATACTCACCCAGCCAATGGTCTGCATCGGTGGTTAAGAACTTTGAAGCTCAAGTCCTTGTTCTAACACTAATTCAGCTAATTTTTCATTTTAATAAACAACATTAGCAACGAACACCTGGTTGCATTTAAATTGTGCTTTGCTATCACAATAAAATTATTTTAAAAATATACAAGAATTTTCTTGCCTGATGTACGATTGAGAAAAGGATTAAAATATATTATATAAATTAAAACCTATCCTAACAGTATGTTAAGTTTAGACTAAATAGGATAAGAGTGGATTTAATGGAGCTATTTAAATATATAAATCAACTAAAGAAAACAATTGCATCGCCAGAAAAGCTTTTAAGCTTTGAAATATCCCCAAATACCATATTAAATCCCTCTAAATTCTTTTCAAAACTATTATTACCCCCCTTGGGGAAAAGAAGCGAAAGCCGAAAATTGCTGCGCTCTAGCAAAACCCTCTTATGTCAGTAAAAATCCCGGTATGCATGCCGACACGATGCTGCCGGCTTTTGCCTTTCCCGTCGACTCTGTTTGCTGTTGCTTCATTACGTGCAATTTGACCTTAACATGTTAATGCCGCATGCAAACACTGGTCAACTGAGTACTCCGAACTGGGGGGCATACCTCCGGAAAAACAGGACGGACGGACGGACAGAGAGTCATTCCGAAAACCAGCAAAACCAGAGACCAACCATTGTGCATTTTGGGGACTCGGGGATTGGGATACCCCATTTGGACAAAAAGTTCCAATGTTATGCTCATGTTACACCCTTTGACTTTTCTCGATTCCGATTCTGATTTCGATGCTGATGTTGCTGGTTGCTGCTGCTGCTCCTGCTGCTGCTACTTGTTAATTTCCTGCGTAACGTGGACCAACATAAATCTGACTCCCGGATGCGAATGTGTGTGTTTGTGTGTGTGCGGACTGCAAATCCCATTCCGATTCCAGCCCTACCGAATGCCGTCAGCAATTGTACCGTCTTCAACCGCACCGAGCTGAGTGTTGACATTCAGTGCATACCCGGCTATGACGGCGGCCTGCCGCAAATATTTGTGCTGGAAATGTTTTCAACACGCACCGGCATCACCAGGTAAGCATATTAATCAACTATAACTACAGATGCCGGAGGGGGGCGTGGCCCCGTTCCACTCGGGGGCTTGATTTTAAGCCGCTTATGTCCGGTTCAGCTTGACCCGAAGCCCAGATATGGTACATATGTCAAACAAATGGCCCCATATCGTTTCGTGAAACACACATTTCGCATTCATGTATGAGCTGAGGCCTTAACCCTCGGGCGGGTCACAGAAATGTCACCAGCTTTTATCAAATAGAGCATGGGAAATGGCTTATTTGGGTAATCAAACAGGTCGCAAAACTAGTTTCCAATTAAAAATTCTACTACAACAGAATCCTTCTAAGCATTTGTTTTTAATTATCTGATTTGTGCTAATTGTGCTATATTGCGCATATTTAAAGAATTCTTTTAAACTCAATTATTTATATCGACTCTACCAAACTAAACAAAGGAATTTTTGTGGATAGACAAATATATTTATATATATTATATTGCTAGCACGTTTTGTTTATGCATTTCGACATTTATTAAATTTTTCGGAAGAAACCAAAAAGTTTTGCTAAAAGACTTTGTTTTTAGTTTTGAAAACTTTGTCTTAAATATGATTGAGAAATCATACGAAGATTTTAACTTGATGCTAGATATTTTAAGCTAATTTATTAGTTTTCCTTAATATATTATTTGCAAAATGGAACTTCCACTAAGTTTTTCCAATATAATGGCTGTTTATACATAAATTTATCGACATATCATTGTAATTTACTTTAATTTAATATTTTTTTAAAATTAAATAACACATTTAACCTTTGGTTTGGGCGCCTCTTAATTACACAAAGGCCAATTCAATTCTATAAAAGCAGGTATCCAGGCGATATAGAAAATTATTATGATTGCCACGTGAAAGGCTATTTTGCCGTATCAATTATGGCTTCACCGGCCATTTGTTTCCGACAATAACGAGTTTAAATCTCTGCCAAAGCTTGAGGGCTAATAATTATGTATGCATGGTCATGTTTAGCTGAACACCTTTGCCACCCCACAATCTGAATCAGAGTCGGTAAATGGAGGATGTCTGCAGTTGACGCCCCCACAACAAGAGATGTACCAGCATGATTTTATTCAATAATAGTTGGGGCTCCGCAGACACGATAGTGGCTGAGAGAAGGGGACTTGAAGGGGACTGGCAAATGTATTTCAAGTGCTTTCACCTCATAAGATATGTATGGAGCACTCACTGTAGGTGTGTAATTAGGCGTGAAACAGCTCGCTCTTGGCCAGCCTGTGTTTGTCTTCGAATGGGTGCTCAAGCCATTGCCATTTATAGTGGGATATTAAATGCGTATACATGCTTATCGTAAATGGGCAAATCAAATTCATATGTGCACATAACATTATGCGAGGGTTGTCTTCATTTCATTTTTCTTTCGCATAAATTTATACCAAATTTTCGTACAGAAGCAGGGCCAAATAAACATTTTCGTATTAAAAACAAAGACATCATCAAAGCAAAACAAAAAAAAGAAAAGAAAAGGAAGGAAATTGAAACCCACATTGGACAGCGAAAAACGCAGCAAACATCGTCATCAATGTTAAAATGTTTGGCAAAAATATATATAGACATTGAACCCTAATATTTCAGAAGTTTGCGAGGAAAGGATTTCGGGGGATCGAATGGGCAGACAAGTCAAAGCCGCATTCGTTGGCAAAGGCATCAAATTCAAATTTAGGTCATGATTGGAAAGAGCGCATATCTTATAAAGGGGTATGGCAAAAGTGCTTGGGGTTAGGAAAACATGCCAGAGAAAAAAGCAAGCCCAAGCCGTAAAAATGCCAAAGGAAAAAGGGCTGCCAAAAAGTATTTGTGGCATTGGCTTCTGCTCAGTCAACAGCCCGCACACATTTGATTAAGGGCTTAATGCCGTTGATTTCCTGACCATTTCGTTTGATTTAATTCGCAATCATCTCGAATCCTTTGACCCGATCCCTCCTTTCATAGATTCAATTTGAGCAACGCCGAGGAGGCGCTCTTCTCGCTGGAGAACCTGGACACACTGACCTCGATGATGGTCCAGGAGAACAATTCGCTGCGGCTGAGGATCTACTCGTACAACCAGAAGGGCCGCAGTGCCGCTTATCTGCTGCCCGATTTCATAATTGGCTCAACAGCTTACAAGACAGGTGAGTGGCACAACCAGCAGCCAGTTGGCGCCGCCGAAAAACGAACAGCACATTTTCCCTTGATTGATGGATGATGGCCCTCGGATGCTGAATGGCTATATGGCTATATGGCTGTATGGCTGTATGGCTCTTTGGCTGAATTCTGGGTGGGATTGCGTGGGCGGGCTTATGCTTTTGACAAGTGCGCAGCTCGCATATGATGGACGCAATATGCGCAGAATTATATCGGCTTCTTGGGCCCATCCAGTGATTTCCTTGCCTGCATTAATCCCATGCAGGCAATGGGCATCCTCCTCCGCATTTCCATCACCCCCACCCGCTTTCCAGAGTCCCTGCCTATGACACTTGACAGGTGGGCTCCTCCGCCAGTCATCTGCAGTACTTACGCAATCAACATGCCTGCCTGAAGGGCCCATCCCCATCAACATCCCCATCCAGATTCCATTCCTGCCATCCTGCGATGGCGTTAAATATGTGTACAATTACTTTTTGACATGGCAGGATCAAGACAGACCTTCAACAGTGGATCGCTTTTCCTAGGGTTTGGAAAACGGAATGCTCAAAACATTCATTGCAAATTTGTATTTAATTTATCCCATTAATCTCATGTAATTTCAAAATTGTAATCGAAATGAAAAAAAATTAATTTCTATTCAATCAATACCAAGTAAACACAATCAACGAGTAAATATGCTTCATTGCTCATTAAATAAAAACATAAATCACACCTTATACCTTCATTCAAATGCTCATTCAATTTAATAAATATATGTATAGAATGAAGAATTCCAGGCAACACACAAATTGAGGAATACGTTTTATTAATTTGTTTAATAACCGTGAATTATTTAAAAACCATTCAAATTTCACGGATATGTGGTTTTGGTGGACTAATGCTTTAATCTTTCACACTGTCCTCCTTACCAATTAATCATAAATCGTCCCCTTCTTATGACTTCAATACACATATAACTCATGACATGCCTGCGCTTTCTGCTCTTCTCTTTTCATGTGAATTTCCTTGGCTAAAAATAAAACCGTCAAATGTCGACAAATTTAACGTTCTGCCCACCGATGAAACCAAATTCCTTAACTACCACTTCCATCGGCAATCAATTTTTGATGTGTGGATGTGGATATGTTTGGAAATGTGCCACTGCAATGTCAATGTCGATGGTGATGGTGATGGTGATGGCGATGGCTTGTTGGCAATCCATCTAAAACCCGATGATGATTTATGAACGCCGATTGTCAACCTGTAATTACGCGAATAACAACAAACAGACGACGATGTAACATTGACATTGTCGCCGGTGATTGTCGGCAGTGTCCTGACCATCATAATTATTGGTGTGGCCATCGCGATACGAATATTCGTGGTGACATTTGTGCACAATTTGCGACGCAATCGTCAACACGGCAGCAAGGCCACCGCCGCCGGAGTGACCGCCCAGCCCAGCGATGTCTTCAAGGTGAGTTGCGAGGGGATTGAAAGCCCTAAAACACCACCACCAACATTTTCCGACATTTTCCGAGCAATTAATGTACGTATTATTTTGTCGTTGGACGACTCTCTTCGCAGGGCGGAAACATGGAGAAGCCGCGCTGGCAGCACACGGACATAAAAACGAAATCATCAGAGGATTTGGTTGAGGACGAACGTGATCCGGACGTTATACCATCGCAATATGGTAAGATTATAAACAGTTCCTCACACTTGACTTGTGGGGTAAACGAGAAAATATTTGAAATTGTTAAAGCAAATAACAGCTGATTTATATCAAACTATTTTCTGGTAACAGACCAATTTAAACATTTTTGAAAAAAATAACAGCTAATTTATATCAAACTTGCTTCTGAAAACAGACCAATATTAATGAATAAATGATAACAGTAGTTTCTGATCCTTTTGTGTATTTTATTTTGAATAAAATAAATAAATCTTTTTTTTAAAGCGTTAAGATGTTTTCTTTTATTTAAGAAAAAATGTATTTTTATTTCTGCGCCTTTCAATTATCCCATCTTAATTTTGAGTGTAAGGCAAGCAGCAATCACTCGCGCAAATAGCTCAATTTCGGTTTGGGTTTTAATGTCACCCCGCGAGTCAAGTGTCCGCTGAAGTAACCGAGAGTAAAGCTGCTTTTTTATAGTGTGCACTTTGAGCATTAAACTTTAATCAAATTTTATGGCCACTTTTCCGACATTTACTTTCATGTGTCCCGCAATCGCATCGGCAACGGCAACGGCAATGGCAATGGCAATGGCAATCTTCAATCGCAATTCGCTATCTGCACATCCGGCTCCATTGTTCTTTGGCGACCCGCAATCGTAATCAATCTCATCAACACAACAACAATACGACCGATGCCAAAACAAACCAAACCAAACGAAACCGATCCGACTCAATCCAATCCAATCCAATCCAATCAACCAATGCAATTTTCTTTTAATCGTAAATATTTTTAACGACGGAACCCGCCAATCTAACACACGAACACGAAACGTGGCTGCTCATCAATAAATTTCAATCAAGCAGTCGGTGGCAGCAGTGCCGGCAGCAGTGGCAGCAATGCCTCCAACGTGGGCAGCACCACCGCGGGCACGGCCACGGGCAGCAGCACCTCCACAGCGGTGGTGTCCTCGGTGGCAAATCCAGCCGCATCCGCAGCAGCAGCAGCAGCAGGAGGAGTGGGAGCGGGAGCAGGAGCGGCATCATCGACATCTGCCGCAGATGCCCATCAGTTTGCAACGGCCACAGCGGCGGCAGGAGGCGGCGTTTCCAAGTGGTCACCCAATGGCAATGTAAGTACTCACCCTATGGCAAAGAACTCAAATGGACAATGCCACCGCCTGGTTTAACTAGGTGGTTTTGGGGACAAAAAATATGAAACACTTTTTGGGGGAAATAGAAACAAATAAATAAATAAATAGTTACGCCTATCTAAAACTACATATACAAACAAAATTAATTTAAACAACAAAGCAATTGTGGACTTAGTAAGATTAATTTTGGCTTATGCCATTATTAAGTCCATATGTAATTTAAGGAATTGTAGTTCATATATTTTTTCTAGGTTAAGATAGTGCTTAAAGAAAAAATAATTTCTTGTTTCCTTAAACAAAAATAACAGAATAAGGTATTTTAACTGGAAACGACATTATTTATAATATTATTAATGATTAATTAATAAACATTTCAAATTTTTATTAAATTTGTTCAGAACTAATAGGTGTTAAAGAAAAAAGGAAAAGTGATTGATTATTTATAAATAAAACTAAGAGTTTCTGAAATCTTGAAATTATAAATAGGGCTTCTTTAATCAATTATGGTTTTTTTTTAATATTTAGCAACAGCAATAGTATACTTTTTCTCATTGTGAGCTTAAGGTTTTAAAGATTTTTCAACTTAAAACCTAATTAAGGCTTACCTTCAACAAAAACATCTATTGAACGGAAAATCACACCAAGCTCTCTCATCACTTGTGATAGATTGCGAAATAATTAAAACGTGTCACCTCAGGGAATTCATTATTGTGTGATAGGCAACAGCAGACGAAAGTTGGACAAAGTCTTTTGTCGTTTGTGCTTTGCTTTGTTCTCCGTAATGCAATTTGATTTGGCCAGGTTTGTTGCCAACAGTTGCCAGTCTGTGAGCAGTCAGGTAGTCCAGATAGTTCCGCACAAAACAGATAGTCGGTGAATCCAATCCGAGTGCTAGCCCAGTCGGAGCGTTTAACGTCTGTCAGTTGTCAGTTGCGGTTCGTATTAACTGGGCCACTTTTTGCCAGACTCCATCCATACTCCTACCATCCCGCCATCTTGCCGTTGTCCCTTTGTCTTGGCAATCTGGTCGGTGCACTGAAAGCAATCAACTACTCAAATTGTCAAATTGCTAAATAGAATCCGAGGACGAGGGCTCCCCGAACACCCACCCGACTGTATTAAAAAAAGCTTTTAAACTGTCACGGCTCCTTCGAAATTCCCACTCTGTGCACTGCCACTCAGGTTATAAATAAAAATCCATTGGCTAAATCGGGGGATAACGTGCAGCTTGGCTACCGGGCTCTAAGGTAATTGCGAGATTTTTAAAACACAATATATCATGTTGAGAGGGCCGTAATCAATCAATATTTGCTCTGCACTCGTATTGGACACGAAACTTCGGTGTTTGGATGCCCAAGTCCGTGGAGAAGTTCCGCATCTATAGGAATTTTTTTTAACTTTTTTTCCAGCTGATGGATGGGGTGGCTCTTAAGAGTGGCAACAGGTGTGGTGAAATGTGCATCTCATCTGGAATCAGTGCAAAAGAAAGCATTCCGCACTCAGTGCTGAGAAAATATGAACGTAATTTCAATTTATTTATACGCATTTTATTTAAAATGCAAAAAGTTCATTAAATTCAGTGAATATATTTCGCTTGATCCCAACGGCTCTTGAATCATTTAGTAAATTATTCCCACAAAAATTAAATCCCAAACATGGCGATTGCTTTCCGTATAATAAATTTTATTAGCACGTTTACTTTATTTTACTATTTTTCAGCATTTTTCATATTTTTTGCGTACGCTTTTTTGCCGACCATTCATTCGAGATTAGAGTGTCGGCCAAAACACATTTGTTTTCATTTCATTAAGTTCGCAATTAGAATTTATTTATGGGCTGCCCCTTGTCTGAATTTTGCACACATGAATATTCAAATATATATATATATGTATTTTTATATACATATATATATATCTCCTTTATGCGCTGACAACGGTCGAGATCCCCAAAAGCCGTTACCATAAGCTGTGCGAACGAGATTAGAGCCGGGAAACGGCCATATGCATCGGCCATGACCAATTGACTGCCAGTCCGCGAATATATGTATATTTATCACTAATCTGGCCAAAAACATTATCCCCAGGACCAATGCCCGATGCCCGATCCCCGCCGGTTGCGAACCAATTTGCAATGCTGAAAAAACCCCGAAACAGAAGTAGCTGGGAAATCAGCCAACGCTGCGGTTTTTCCACCCGCTCCATGGCGCATTGCATTCGAAACCCCCAGATAACAAAGTATCCGATTGCGGGCCCAATTCGGATACGGATACAAATACCGAGTCGGGGCTGAAAGGGAATTTCTGTTTCTGGTTCTGGTTCTGTTTCTGTTTCGTTCTGTAAATGGGATTTGCTGTGCAGATTTCAATTACATTTAAATTACCATTCCGGGCAGGCTTAAAATGCGGTCGGTTGGGCGGCGGCAGCGGCGGAGGCGGAGGCGGCGATGCCGGCCAGTCGGCAATCGCAGCATAACTCAATTCGTTAATTAAATAATTTTAAATATTGCCAACCATAACAGCCGAACATAGCAGTTAGCAGCCCCACTCTCCCGTCACCTGGAAATTGCATTGAGATTTCAATTAGAATTTCATTTCGTTTTGCCAGCCGGCGAAATAAAAATGCCAAATAACAACGTATTGGTCGGCAGCATTTTAGATGTTCTAGCCGAAATTCGTGCACTTTTGTATAATGATTTGAGCTAATTGGTTTGCGGAGGGGGGCAAAAGAGGCCGTTCAACAAAACGTTGTTTTCAATATAGCTGAGCATTCTGCAAAACACGTTTCTTTTCGAACGCTGTACAACTAAATTGCAATCTAAATTGTTTTATTGAATATTCTAGTATTGATTTTTTGCCAAGCGTTTAACTCGTTTCTGTCAGTTTTAGTGCGGGCAAAAGCTTAATCTGCCACCAATAACAATATAAACATGTTTGGTAGTGTTCTATATTATTGTGTCTTATTATCTTAATGTAGTTTTAAAGTATTCAAAATTAAATTTTACACTTGACTGATTTAAAAATCAGTCACATTTCTTTAGTAGCATTAAATTGTTCAGGCGAACTGCAAATTTGATTTTTTTCGTTTGAAAAACTCCAGAGTGGTAGAGCAGAAAAGATTCTGGACGAATGCCTTTAAATGCTAGATTGGGTTGCACTCAAAAAAAGTAGCTACTTTAATTTGAATACTGCAACAAAGTGATGCGGTACACTTAATTCGTTTTACTATCCCGAATCCTAATGTTCCTTAAACTATTTTTGTCTTTTGGATGGGATATTTTTAAGCACATATTAAATTAAGTTGTAAATAATAATATAATAATTACAATTCCTTAATTCATATAATTCCAAAAACTTTGGAATGCAAACATATAAAAACAAAACATAAAGTTTTTAAACATATGTGGAATTTTTAAAATAAGTGCCTAACTATTATATATGACATTGTGTACCCTCATCTTTTTTGATTGTGTAAATGTAACTTTTTTTCTGAGTGCATCTATGTCTCCATTTGCTCTGACTTGCAGGTGACGACGACGATGCTGTCCGGCGATGCGGTGAATGCGACTGTCACCTACAATCAAATCACTGCGCAGCGGGCGCAGCTCCTTGCCGCGGTGGCTGCGGTGGGCGGTGGGTGCAGCAGCACTGTAATCTCGCCCAGTAGCAGCATCCTGGGCAGCCTTGGCAAGCCGCTGGGCATGGGCATGGGCATGGGTCTGGGCGGCATGGGTGGGATGGGCGGCATGGGCGGCATGGGAGTGGGTGGCATGGGATCGCCCACCTCCCTCTCCTCGACGGCCACGCTGGCCGCCCACCTGCAGCCGGTGCACAGCAGTGGGGTGGGCACTTTGCCACCGGGACTCGGCAGTGGTGGTGGCTACATACTGAACGCCTACGCCAGCGGACGGCTGCACCACCCACCGGTTGGTGTGGAGCCCACGGGCGGGGCCGCCACCCTGAACAGGCACCACCACCAGCAGCAGCAGCAGCACCACCACCACCACCACGCGCACCACCAGCAGCCCCACCACTCGGGCTCCAGTTTGCTGATGGGCAGTGCTGGCAGCGTCATGGGTGTTGTGGGATCCACCGCGACAGCCACTACGTCCTGTAACTCCTCGCAGGACCTCGATGATAACATAAACATCAATGCGATTAAGGACTGCCTGATGACGCAGCGAGTGCCCGAGAGCTGTGTCTAAATTAGGTTCTGCAAGTGGCGGATATATGTATTTAATGTGTAGGAATATAAATCTATGTCAGACAGGATTGTGGCAGTTTTCACATTTGTTTTAACTCATAAAGAGTCTATTTTCTGATTTAATTAATTTAAAACATATTAAACATAATTATTCTTGGTTATTAACGTTTTTATTGATGGGGACTACTATATTGAGACAGTGTAGAAATGCGTTATGTTTATAATTCAAATTAAATTAATTAAAATTATTACTCTTTTTTTGTTAAATATATGAAAACTGAAACAAGCCTGATCTTTTCTCGTTAAGGTGCTGTGCATATATAAACTAAAACATAAGCGGGATGTGAAGTAGTAAAAGCCGAACATAAACTGACAGGAAAGCGTCATATCTTCTGGTTCAATAGCATATCCCTTGTTATATCAAAACTGAAATAGGAGAAAGAAGAGATCATTATCAAGAGCATCTTTGGAGATTTGTTCGATTCATTGTTGACTTCGAAACTGCCTTTAAATTCCTTTTCCCAATGAAAAAAATATAGAAACTTATAATATATTTGAAAAATTGGCTTTGTTTCGAATGTATAGGGTTAATTGGATGGAAAAACATTCACAACACAGTTAAACACACACTCTATTTTAAGGAAACTTCAAAAAGACTCAAAAAATGTAGTAGCTAAATATTTTGTAGTAAAAATATTTCAGAAGCGAGACATAAATATCATAGGATAACTTGTATATAAAATACATTTGTGGCATAGAATATAGGCAATTTGTATAAAGAGAATAATAATCAGACCCAAAGATCCTTCGTTATTGTACATACAAAAATTTATGATTGTAAATGTATCAAAGTTTATGTTTGAGATGCCGTCTTAATCGGCTAATGGTCCTGCTTAGAGCTAAAGGAAATACTGAAGTTAAATGTTTAGATGGGAAAGCGTTAGACTTAGGCTACAATAGGTCATAGAAAATGAAAGAGTTTAAAATGTGCTAGGCTAACAGAATTAAGCAAAAATATCAATAAATACACATAGCTAAGTGGACGAATAATGTAAAAAAAAACACAAAATGAAGTATCGGAATGTAAACAAAGGGCGAAAAGTAAATATAGATCAACTACAAAAAACCAAAAGAGTTAATTAATTATTTGCGAGTTCCTTTGCGGTTCAAACTTATTTGTTTGAAATCTAATTTGGAAGTTGAAACCAACTTTGTTGGTTTTTCGTTTTAATTCTCACTTTTTTGTGGAAGGCAGTTTGGACACATGTCCGAAATCCTATCCAGTCCCACTTGGCCAATTTAAATCGCCACTCTAACAGGGATGTGCAGCCCGTCCCTGCGGTTCGCATGCCAACCACAATTCCCAACACCCGCAAGACAAACCGCAAGTGCCAAGCGAAAAAACTACTTAAAATTTCATATGCTCTCGTCCCTTGTTTTTCCCTCCGCCGGACTTGCCTCATTAGTAAATCAAATTTATACGTGGGAGGTTGGACCTTCGAACCACACCCACTCAACCATTCACCAACTGAAATGGTCAACCACATGGAACGTTGGATCTAAGTTGAATCGACAGCCTGGGTAAGGAAACAAAAAGCGGAAGGCTGGTGAAATAGGAACAACTCAACTTTTAATCGACAAGTTGGAAAGTGGTAAAGGAATTTAATTACTAGTTGAAGGACACTAATCGTATCATTATTTTGTGGTAGACAATTAATAACTGAATAATTATATGGCCTAAGCTTCAGGTAAGATAATATATTTATTTCGACGCTCAATTGTGTGTGTAATAAAGAAGAAAAAATCCTTAATTAATAAACTCAGTTATCGAAGAATGTGTGGAATTTCTGGTCAATTACCTCTTGAACTAACAGAACATTTTCTATTATATTCCGACTGTATTTGATTCCTTTTTGCTTTCATGTCATCGCCTGATAGATATCATTTCACACGTGCCTACACAAAAAACAGAAAAAAAAACGAAGAAAACTACGAAAAGAAAACAAACTCCCACAGTTGATGTGAGGTCAGAAAATGTAAATAACTGAATTGCCCCCGGGTTAGCCCACAAATGGAGTCAAGGAAAAATGCCTTTAATAGAAAAAGCAAAGGAAAAAAATTGTAGCAAAATTATGCGCGAGATTTATGCTTTTGTTGTTCTCGGCCAGTCTGCTTTCTGTTACCCATATTGATTTTTCCGCCCAAACTATGTGTGAAAATTAAATTCCCGTTTACAGTTTTCCCTCCATTAGCGATTAGACTCTCGGTTGCCGAGCGCTGAGGGCGACCAGTGAATTGAATTGAAGCGCATTGTGTAAATCAGCGGCTCAATAAAATCTAATAGCTGCTGCAGATTGCGGCTCGACACGCACCGCACCAAGGCAACTGACGATGGTGTCCTGGGTGTCCTGGCTGTCCTGACTGGGCGGTAAACATAAATTACCGGACGGGGACAAAGCTCGTCCTTGACAGTGGCTAAATTTTGATAGGCATCATAATAAATGGCAGAAGTGACAGCCTGACGTCAGTGATCCGAAAAGCTTGAACCCGTTATGAATCCTCTAAGCTGATTGACTTAAAAAGTTTGCTATAAATTAATAGGCATAATGGCGTATTCTGGACTGCGGAGACAGTGGTGGTGGAAATATTTTCTCATAACATAATATATAATGTTCTGAACACTTTAAAACACTCTTTTAATTATAGGAGACAAATCAATTAAAATTAATATTAATTTAAATATTGATAAAACGGCTTTTATAAGTAATAAATACTTCATTCCCTTATTTTCGAATTTGTCAGATTTTTACAATGAAGCATTATAAGCCAATGTGCACAAAAAATCACTATGGTTTTAAAATTATTTATAAAGGAGTTTAAGCCTATGCAATATGGAATAAAAAGTAAATTTTAAGTTCGGAAGTCCGATGTATTCGTATTGTCCATAGCTTAGTTTAAACACCTTTATAATTTTCCTTTATATAACAACATCTTGATGTTTTCTTTAGCACCCCCTTTTATAAATTTTGAGTTATATGACGTTTATTTTATTAAAACGCTTTTATATTAAGGCATACATTTTAAGAGCAAACAAATAAAACTTTTCCGGTGGCATTAAGTCCTTGTCGGTGGCGGGAAGTACTCTTAATCCCAAGTCTCCCCGCCGCATGCTTTCTTTTTTCATTATCGAACTTTGCGACGTTATAGCGTTATAACACTTGCAGGGCCAAAGCCGAAGCCACCGCCACCGCCACCGCCAGAGTATTACCACAGGGAAGCCGCTTTGGCAAATTAACTAATGACTCCATGTCGGTGATGCAGGGGGGGGCAAGAAATTGAGTGGGAGTTTCAAGGAGGGGGGACTCCGGCGGATTTTTGCCGGGAATCGGCAGATGGCGGGGAGGAGGGGCGTTTGTTTAATTGTCGTGCGACCCGCTTTTTGCTCCGTTTTAATGAGTCAATTTAAATTCCGATTTCGATTACGGGGAAAGCGTTTTTCGAGCTGCTGATGGTCCGCGCACACACACACAGCTGAGGCCAAATCGATGTTCATTAGCAGAAGGCATGCCACGCCCCTGCTGCCGCCTTCTTTGTCCGCCGCTTGCCGCTCCGTTCGCAGCTCTCTTTATTTTGCCCTCTGACCTGCCATTGTCAACGCAATTAGCAGCGCGAACGAGACGGAAGTTTTAAAGTTAATATTGGTTTTTGTTTTTAGCATTGAAATGACTTCGCACGTCCTGTACAGGGCAACTAAGGCAGCGGAATGAAACATATTTCGCAGTCCTTCGGGCGAATCATAATTGAGGCATTTAGAATTTAATATAGTTGCAATTGTAATGCAGTCCTTTTAAGTGGTTTTTAATTAAAAACCAACCGCATTTTTTGTTAGCCAAATTAATGAGCAAGGCCGCATGAAAGTATGCCACTTTATTTGCCGGCGATTTTTTGTTTTTGTCAGCTGGCGATTTTAATTAAAACATCAGGGTTTTTATTATTTGATTTATTGCGCCATCTGACAGGCCGCAATAATCGCCGTAAACAAATGCATATGTAATTGCATATTTGAACTCAATTAACCCGTGGCTTGACCGCACAATTTCTGCAAATTTGTCAACCCAATCGCAGTGAAGGCGGCAAAGTGGGCAGTGTTGGCAGAGTCGACGGGTGGTCCTCCTCGCCAAAGGCCATAAATCTCGGCCTACACTTTCAACTTGACCCCAACGGAGTCGACTCGATGTCGTTGGAAACGCAGCGCTGCATGAAATGAAATTTAGCGCAACGGCCTCCTTCCATATGCTTTTTGTTTTGTTTTTTGAGTTTTTCGGCTTCAACCCGGCGCTTGCTTCTATTTTTTATGCCATTCTCCGTTTTCCGTGCGTCGCTCAACGCAACAATTTATGGCTAAGCGCTCGTGTTTGGCCTAAAAGTATAAAGTATATATACATATATAGAGAGAAACCAGTTACATAAAAACACGTCGATAAATTACAGTCGCCCCGAGAGGCCTTGGTCTCGCCAACCTAGCCGAGTCGAACTAATGGCAGCCGAGCAATATCGTTATATAACAACCAACGGAAAATTCTTTAAAAATTATCTCAAAAACCGGGCCACGCAGGTCGAATGCTCTGGTTTGAAACAGGTGCTTGTATTGATTTACCAAAAAAAACTAGTAGTTTTTATCGAAACATTGATTATATTTGCATTTAATTATCTGTATTTTTTGTATTATTGAATTATTACTTTTTACAATAAATGATTGTAATGAACTACTGTCACCCTAAACTAAAAAACAGGCTGCCTCTTGTTAATTTCAGTTTATATGACTTTCATTTTATTCACTAGGTTTATAAAAATTTGCTCAGTATTTAAAGCATCTGAAAGGCTGGCAAACATTCTAAAAAAATGCATATACCTCAATTTATTTGTGTGGCCTGTGAAAATAATCAGGCAAACAACAAGAAAAATAAATTTAAATTCTGTGTCAACATGCGGCATGGTGAGATGTTGCCAAGTTGTCCTTTCCTAACAATTTATGCAAAAAATAATTAAAATAAAAACCAAAAACAAATAAACCAACGCAATAACAGCGGTGTAAGCAAGTCGTGCGAATATGTGCGTGAACCTGTGTATGTGTTAATTAAAATGCCTTAATTAAAATAATTTTCAAATACTTTGCAGGCCGTAAAAAGTTTCAACCCCACACCATGGAGCGATGCAAATATTAACGAATCGGAGGAGTGCCAGGAGTAGGTGGAGTAGGAGCAGCAGGAGCAGCAGGAGCAGCAGGAGTGATGGTAAAGCAACAAATTTTTTTTTTTTCCATTGACTGCCACAGAGATTGACAAGCATGACAGGAGCAACTGCCTTTTCGCCAGGGAGAAGCGCCCAGAACGTATTAAAAACTTTACAATTTGTGCAGTGTAGTCAAGTTTAATTTTTTGGTTGAGTTCATGCGAAAATTGCAAAAATCATATTCCAACTGTTTGGCAAGCCATCAAAGGTATGGTCGTTTGGTCGACGACCCAACTTCAGGGGATTGCTGTGGTGGGCGATGGATCAGGCACAAACAGTAGAGACTGTGGTCTAAAAACTGCAACGTGATGAAGACTGGTACTGGTAACTTGCGAACGAAAGTGCACTTGCCAGGGAGTGCAGTGAGGTGGAGTGGAGTGGAGCAACATGTGTTTGTCCATTCAGCACAAATCGATTCCAGCGTGCTATTTGCTTAGCAAATTGAAAATTTCCATAAACCCAGATATCCGCCCCGTAGAAGAGGCTTAAAAAAGGTTGACAATTGTACTTTGCATTATCCTTGACTCGCTTTTCTCATTTTCCCTACTTATCTGTGTTGCTGCCGTTTTGCTACGTTCCTTCTGCGGTAGCTGCTACTTTTTAATGTCTTATCTACGTGGACTGTTTGTCGAAATGAAGCTACAAATTTAACCCAAAACACACGCGCCACACATAAAAAGCAAGCGGCGAAACGAAACCAAATGGGCGAAAGCAACAAAAAATTGTGTTGAAATGTGAAGAGCGGAGTATGCCGCACACTAACCCTTCATTGCCGTCGACCCCCTCGAATTCTTTAAGGGAAGCCCCGGCAGGAGTCATAATTATGCCCGGCCCATCGCGCACTGAACGCGGCACGCAAAACATTTTTCGTAATTATCTCTCTAAAACCAGGAAAAAAAGCACAATGAAAAGTACGCAAACAGACACTAAATAAAAAAGAAG